AGTTGTAGAAAATATTACATCTCACAATAGAAAATAGTAATATATGTATATATATTCTTGGTTATCATGAAAATAACATATAAATAAACAGAAAACTACATTTTCTCTGTTTATTGATGTTCCGTCACCGTGCCGGATATTAGATACCATCGAGTCCAAACATTTTTTGCCGGGGTAGATTAGACACAGTGGTTAATGACATCTTTCCATTGGATGTTGGATGTGTACTGATTGATACTTAAGTCTTAGATACATGATTTTTGTTTTGCCTGCGACGAAAGTGGCGGAAAGCGAGACAAAGGGATTGCTTTTCCGGCGACGGCGACAGCGACGACGTTGTCAACAATTGTTAAAAGCTTCCTGTTTATGTTATAAAATTAAGGAGATGTGGTATTTTTGCCAATGAGACAACTATCCACCAAAGTTCAAAAAAAGTGGATTTAAGCCTTCAACAATGAGAAAAACCCATACCGTATGGTCGGCTATAAAAGGCCCAGACATGAAAAATATGAAAACTAACGGCATAATTTATAACAAAACAATTCACGAAAAAAATATACGACAGACATGAACCAACGACAACCACTGAACTACATGCTACTGACTTAGGACACAGGGACTCGGTTAGCATATCAATTTGACGACTATTTTGACATGGTCCAGTGACTTTGAATCAATTAGCAATTTTCAATGTTAAGTTTTCTGCTTAAGTTAGATTGATAGGAGCTACTTACAATAGACAACGATAGTTTCTATAAAGTTACATTACTGTCTGTTCATCTCAGTCTGTGACGTCGACCATTTTCAGGCCCTGCCCACTAGATCATGGTCCAGCGACTTTGAATTAAGGATGTATTCTTCTGATGTTTCAGTCTCGTTGAAATCTCGTTCAAAATTTATTTCCAAAACATGTGATACAAGTGGAAAATATCAAGGAATTTAAAAAATATTATAATCAAACTAAACTCTGAAAAAATTGTGTACTTAAAATAAGTAGTTTTTGAGTAATAAAATTTTCAAATTTTACAACCAATCCGGTCAGTGTCAACAGCCAAAATGTTGAGAAAATGGGTGAGGGGTACAAAGAAATGATTTTACCAGAAATGTGTACATCCATATCAATTTTTCTTTTCAAAATTCTTAGATATGTATTTTTTCAATCATCTATAACTAAGAAGTTGACATAATATGCTTTTTGTTCAAAAAAAAGGAAAAAAGTCCCAATTTTACCGTGACAAAATTGACATCATGGTCATTTTGACACGAAAAAGCAACAAAATTTTATAAACTTTCTAATATTAACACCAACCTATAGTTTTTTTTAAGTTAAATTTATTCAGATTGGTCCACTTCATCTTTAGTGAAAGTATGAAAAAAGTTTTAATTGTGAATTGTAATAATAGCCCAAAAATGGGTAAAAATTGATGAAAAGTGGGAAAATCATTAAAAATGGGGTACTTTCAAATGGCCGTAGCAAAAAAAGAAGTGAACCACCTTATGATTTTTTCTGATCTTTTAAACTTTTCAAGATAATTATTATCAGTAAAGAAAGCAAGACATTTTTGTTTCATAACTATAAGGTTTTGCATGTTTTTACTCATAAAGACGTTTACACTTAATTTAATCTGGATAATAAATAGTAACTTCTCATTAACAATCTAAATAATTGAGACACAAAGTGTCTAACTTCAGAAATAACTTTCTTACAGTCATATAAACCAAAAAATCAGGTTAAGAAAAAAGTTTAATTCTAGAAATTTTTGGCTCCTCAGAGGTGTACATCCTTAATAAGCAATGTCGCTGTCCATCAGATTGTCTTTTTCTGAATTTTATGCCGACAGGGGAGACATATCTCTGTGTCAACAGTTTATTTTATCAGTTGTTATTGACTTTGAACTAGCTGTCAGTAACTGCGAGTACTCTCAGATCTGTACTGTTGTGTTGTATGGATGGATAAATACCCTGCCACGTCCGGTCTGCGATTTCGTTACTTGTTTTACTGCTTTGTATCGATCTGAATAGTTTAGCCCTTTTAAACTGATTTTTATAGTTTGTTCATATCTTGTACTGTTACACCACTGTCACAGGTTAAGGGTGTGTGTGCGCCCGCTAATATGTTTAACGACGCCACATTTTGTATGTGCCTGTCCCCAAGTCAGGAGCATATAATCAGTGGTTGTCGTTTGTTGCTGTATATCATATCTGTATTTCGTTCATTGTTTTTTACATAAATAAGGCCGTTAGTTTTCTCGTTTGAATTGTTTAACATTGTCATTTTAGGGCCTTTTATAGCTGACTATGCGGTATAAGTTTTGCTCATTGTTGTAGGCCGACCGTACGGTGACCTATAGTTGTTAACTTCTATGTCATCTAGTCTCTGAAGGAGAGTTGTCTCATTGGCAATTATACCACATCTTCTTTTTATAGGCAATGTATTAATATGTACAGATTGCAGGAATAAATGAGGAAGGTCCACTCTTTCATCTATTTTTCATTTTGTAATGATTGAATAAAAACAAAAAAGTTTTCCAATGTTTTCTTTATTCTGGAGGTGCTGCTTTAGGTGTATGAAAAAAACTATGTGAGTTAGTTATCAGCACGTGTGATTAGAAATACATAAAACAAACTTCAGAAGTATAGCCGGATAAAGAATCGGTGCTATGCGTGAGATAGTTACATTCCTTAATATCAAAAGATTCCTAAGTTTTATTACTGCATATTTCATGTCCGTACTTTCAATCTAGCACTGAAGTATTAAAATACTCGGGGGCTGATGAATACGTAATTATTTCTGATAAGTACGTCTAAACAAGTGACAACTGCATCCATTGGATCACCAATGAAGGTGATACACGTCCGAAAACACATATTATATTCATAATTACTCTAAATATCAGCACAACAATGTTAAATCTACAAAAGCAAATTTTTGTTCTTCCCTCGCCGGGATTCGAACTCATGATATTGAAATATCGAGACAGCACCGCCTGCACTGTGTCAAGCGCTCTAGACCTCTCGGCCACCTAGACTGAACTAAATATTCAGTTTTCGGTGGCCTAGTGTTACCTTTCCTCGTCAGTAGAATCTAGAGTTGTAACACAGTACATGATATATTAGGCATGAAGATGGAATTGATTGCAGATTCCATCTTATCTATCGTAGAGGATCGTAAGATATTTCGATTTCTGTATATACGTAATTATTTCTGTATATGTACGTAATTCGATAACTGTGTATACGTAATTATTTCTGATTTACTCTTAATATCAGCACAACAATGTTAAATCTGCAAATTTGCGGAAGAAAATTTTTGTTCTTCCCTCGCCGGGATTCGAACTCATGCTATTGAAATATCGAGACAACACCGCCTGCACTGTGAATCGCAGTATTTTTGACCTTAATTCCGCGCCATAGTCATCTGAGAAAATAATATTTATGCAAGTAATTTGTGATTCTTCCAATTATGATTACTTGGATGTGACCTATCGAATTAGACATATAACCGGATTTGTATTTACATAAGCAACACGACGGGTACCTCATGTGGAGCAGGATTTGCTTACCCTTCCGGAGAAGCTGAAATCACGGCCCTGTTTTAATGGTGTGCGAGTTGTTCAGTCTTTGGTTTTCTATGCTGTGTTTAGTATACTGTTGTTTGTCTTTTGTGGTATCTTCAGTCTCTCTTTTTTCAGCCTAGGTTTTTCAAATGCCCTGCCGCTTGGTATGTGGGCTTGATTGTTGATTCCTTTGCGCGAAAGCAGTAGCCTACTCTGCATTCTTCTTTCTTTTAGTTCATTGTGTTATATTAAATTTCTGCCATTGGTCCTGGTTTAGTTTCTGAAGTTTGATGTAATAAACCGGATCACTTTCTTTGGACATTTTCTAATTTCTCTAGTAGATACGTTTGATTGGGATCCCAAGCAGAACTTGAATATTTAAGGACTGGTCGTTCAAGTCATTTGTATGCTTATAATTTGACTTCCTGGATGCAGCTAAATTGTGCTTATAAGAGTGTCTTTTAGTTGTTATCAAACTGGACTTTATTTTTCTCCCTGCTAAGTGTCATCATATTACATCAGTTGGTCGGTAAGAATCTCATACCTGATATCATCACGGATGAATGATACAGAATGATTGTCATTGATTGTATTACACATTAAAGTGTACCAGGTGCGGATCCAGGGGGTGAGGCGGCAGGACAACGCAAAAAGTGGGACTTGGCCATCAATGCTTTAACCATATATGTAGCGCCATAAGACCTGCTCCCCTTAAATCCGCCTCCGTGTACGTGTATTTACTACGAAGTGTATACTGAGACTACAGTAGTAGTTGTCTCTGAATTATAATAAATGAATAAGTTATCAGGCCAGATGTCCAATCATGATAACCAAGACATGAAACTAAAGCCGGCATTTATAACTGGTCAAACTCAGAGCTATCCTGGTTCCATGAGCGCCATAAATACCTTGATTTTAAACAGTTTTATATAATTGATATCATCACTTCAAATTTTACACAAATTCATGAAATATTAGCTAATATAGGCTGGTGATATATCTTTAAGTCAAAACGGCTAATGATTTTTAAAGGCCAGTTTGCTGTTTAATGGGTATGATTTAAGACTTAAATTATTTAATCAGCGAAGCAGTGAAACATATATTTTTTCAGTGATCACACTGGTTTGAATTAGAATTTTATTAGTTTATAATCTTCAGTGCATTGAAATCTACTCACTAGTTATTTTCACTCCTTTTGCCGGTTGGACTATGTAAATTTCCTTTGTTGTAAATTTCTTATTTATACTATTGCAAAGTTTAATCTTTACTTTTTGAAGTTGATATTACGTTGAAATTAAGTTTTTCTACAGCTGAGACAGGGACTTGCTATAGTATAGAAAGTCCCTGGCTACTAGTAGTCTCAGTATACTCAAACCAAAAATTTGAGAAAAGGCCGGAATTTAATCAACCAGCATTGTTGAATTTTACATACACCGTTGTACTTCCTGTTTACAATTTCCTGAAGGAAACCAATCTATATTGATGTCATTTTTTAGACAAATCTCTAGGCTGAAAAGTTCAATGTCAGTAACTTTACTTTTATTTATCGAATAGCTTATTTGTGTGCCCTATTGATTTTTCGATGTTTTTACGACCTGTGAGGGTAGAGATAATCTTAAAATCTTATATGGCTTGTGGTAACATTGTCACAGAACATAAGTTCCTCCATAATATTTATTCCAAAGATAATTTATTATGTAACAAAAGTTCCAATTGGAATTAATGTTATGTGATATTTATTCTATAAGCATAATAAAAGGACCGATGCCTCGGAATTTTTATCACATAAAATAAATTCCAATAGGAAGTTTTATTACATAATAAATTATCTTTGGAATAAATATTATGGTGGAAATTTTATCGTATGACTGGTATAACATTTTGACTTTTATCATTTTGGCAATTTGACATATCATTCATTAAAATAAAAGTAATCAGAAACTACGGGTAACAGGGGCGGATCCAGGAATTTGGAAAGGGGGGGCGAAGTTTTTAAAGATTGCCGAGCGGATCGAGGCGAAAAATTTTTGGGACCTTTTTTGGGCTAAAAAACATAAAATAAGTGTAAAATGCACTTTTTAAACGGTTCCTGGCGAGGGGCATGTATATTCTATAGTTGCTGTAAAGTGTAAGGGTTGGACATGTTTTATGCTGTATTCTCCCTATTGATTGTCTATCATAAAATGATAGTATGGATCCAAAGCTATGTACTGATATATTTGATGTGGGACTTGCCAGTAAAAAATAGACATGGAAAATTCTCGTTTGTTGTATGTTAAGTTAGCATAACCTCACAGATTTCTTGTTGTAAACAAGAAATACGCCGGGCTATTCGATGAAATTTACAATACGACCGACACGAGTTAAAAAAGTCAAACAAGCAATTTTTATCCAAATGTTTGGTTGATATGTTTCACCAAACAAAATTAAGGGAGGTGAGGGGTTCCAAATCAACCAAAGGCTACGAATGAGTCTGAAATGACAACGAATTTATGAATGACGGTCGACAAATGGAGACATAAAGGCCACACTCAGCAGTCAGGTTGCAGTCTGGTCTTGAAAAAAGTATTCAATATATCAGTTCGGCGAAACAGACATTCCAGTCAGAGATGCAAACCCTGGCCTAAAAAAAATACGCCCGTTTTTTATTCATCATGTCCATTTAATGCTAAATAATTCTGTTGGAAATTTTCGTTTCTAATAGCAAAAAAGTGGACAAGATTATTGTTTTCAATCCAGATACGGCCAGAATTTTTATTTAATGCAAAAATCAGAGTCAGATTGTTTTCTCTCAAATACCTTAGACTGCCTCCTCAAATCAAATGGTTCGTACCTTAGACTTTAAATCTATCTAGAGCTTATACTGACTGGGGATCATTATTCAGCTTTCATGTTATTTTTAAATAGGCTGGGGCGTTTGGGGTTAAACATGTTTTCGTAGGTAAATAATATTGCTGTGGATTTTTTTTTCATGAGAGTGTAATAGAGTATTACTTTCTGTTTGGTTGAATTGTGAAATAGAAGTCACTACGTTCTTGCTCAATCCTGTGTCGCTTTGAAGGTATCATGATTGTCATCCTCAGCCTAAGCAATGTAATTTACTGTAATTTGAATTTTCAAAATGACTGAGTGACGTTTTTTTGACGCACTGGTCAACTCCACCATAGCGAATCACATGACTTTGACATAATCAGTAAATACCAACGAAAAATATCTTTATAAGTAAAGAATTGTCGCATAAAAATTAAATACACGGGTAATGGCAAAGTTCACGAAGTCTAGTCTGATTAATCTTTTTACATAAAAAAAAAAAAGTCCAAGCAAAGGGGGGGCGTACGCCCTCTACGCCCCCCTCTAGATCCGCCACTGGGTAAATTGCTTTAATAACATATATACAAATCAGTCCGAAATTGATGCACATTTTACAAGCAAACAAATTGGAGTTATTTTGATTTTTTAAGCACAGGTAAATATTCATAAATACTATTTCTCCTGGTAAAAGTATTATGTATTATCTATTTCAAATGAAAAAAATATTATGTAATATCTATTCCAAAAGGAAAAAGTATTATGTAATATCTATTGTAAAAGGAATAAATATTATGTAATATCTATTCCGAATGGAAAAAGTATATTGTAATATCTATTCCGATTATAAAAAGTATTATGTAATATTTATTCCTATTGGAAAAAGTATTATGTAATATTTATTCCAATTGGAAAAAGTATTATGTAATATCTATTCCAAAAGGAAAAAGTATTATGTAATATATATTGTAAAAGGAATAAATATTATGTAATATCTATTCCGAATGGAAAAAGTATATTGTAATATCTATTCCGATTATAAAAAGTATTATGTAATATTTATTCCTATTGGAAAACGTATTATGTAATATTTATTCCTATTGGAAAAAGTATTATGTAATATTTATTCCGATTGGAAAAGTATTATATAATATCTTTTCTATTATGTAATATTTATTCCAATTGGAAAAAGTATTATGTAATATTTATTCTGATTGGAAAAAGTATTATATAATATCTTTTCCGACCCAAAAATAGTATTATGTTCTATCTATTACGAATGCCGGAATGGTAAATTGGTATTGACAATTATAATTCTAATATAACTATAGTAGAAATAATACTAGTAAAAGAACAGGTATCGTGAATATGGGAAATAATTGTTCCCAATGTTGTAGACATTAAATAATCATTTCAAATTATCCACAATTACTGGCATGCATATTTTACATTTAAATGATATTTGTCTCATTAGAATTAATATTTATATTTCACAGCTGAACTTGTTAACATATTTACTTACCTTCAACATAAGTTCCATCATTTAAGAACATAAATATTTCTCGTACTCATCAGCCTCCATGTTTATACATTCAGGTGTTGTGTACAGGTGATTATATCTAACTCATTAACACTTTTCAATTTATATAATAATCATATAATCAGCATTCAAAACCTGTTTTGATTTAGATAATAATCAATCAGGTGTAAACTAAAATTCAGCATAATAGGAACATTTGTTATACTCATTAACATATAAGATAAGTTCCTAATATCAGTGGAACAAATATATTACAGATGGAAAAAGTATTCCATGACAGAATTTCCGCAGAACATATATTATTATAATATTGTTTCCCTCAGGAACAAATATTATTAGGAACAAATATACGTTGACAACATGCTCACCTTCAGGTCATGGGGTCATTCCACGGCCGGATCAATTAATGACAGTCTTGAAAATTGGTATGTGTTTCTTTGGGTGACTAGTTTTCCTGCAGATTGTTAACTAAAAAAAATACATACATAGGTTTAAAATGTAACAGGAGGGGGTCGGTGTCCACACCTCTTGGAACGTGTAGTAGCCAGTACATCGTCCCTATTCGACCATCGGGATACCTGATATCAGATTTTGGCAGAATAGAGACATAATCTAATAGAACTCAACAATTTATTTACAAATGTACAACATTCAAATAAAACATAGTTAAATGAAATGAAAAAGAATAGTCTTTTGAAAGTTGAATTCAAAAATAAAATGTAATGGAATAGTTACTTATAGTTTGCAAAATGATATCAAAAGGAACAGTATTTCTAGTCAAATGAAATCAAATAAAAATAGCGATACTAAGTTTAAAAAGTAAATGCAATTGTATTTATATACTAAGCTTTGTGTTTCAGAATTTAGTAAATCGTAAAGAAATAATGCCAATGTAGTTGCTGAAAATTAACTCAAGTGGAATCAAAGTCATTAAGGATTCCTGCCAGCTGTAGTTTAATTAAGACTGATTTAAAGTGTATTAGAGAAGGGTGGCAATGTTACACTACCGGCTCATGTATACACGTGGAGAGTGAACTTCTTTCCACCGGAGCAACTCCTGATCAAGTTTTAGATAAAAACTTATCACTTTCAAAGATATAAATAAAGATATGGTACATGTATTGGTTAGCACGTCTAGATCAAATTAAACATAAATAAACATTTAATTGAGAAAATACTAATTTGGAATTATTAAAGGGAGACTACCCAAATCACATCCATTACAAAAAGATGGCTCAGTGTGTCTGGGTATCGGGTCTGTTCACCCTGGGTTCCTTCATCCATAGAGTCTGTATGTCCTGTTTTGTGGTATTCATGGTGGTAAATATTCCACATGTGTTCCAATATTGAACATTATGGAAAATATCATTTTCATTATCTTCTCTGAGACTATTTGACCTAATTCAATTCAACTTGCAAATAATTGAATATGGAAGTTTCAATATAAAAAGTCATCATCTTGTTCTGACCCAGATGGAAAACATGGCTTCATGAGAAAGTAAATACTCAATTCTACTGGTTACTTTTCAAATTACTTCTATTTATTTTTACTATTGATGAAATTTGTATTGTGAGTAGATGTTAGCTTATTTTTGGAAATTACAAACTCCAAAACACAATCATCCAAATGGATAAAAGGGAGCATATACATTGTACCTTAAGGGTGCATTATTAAAAAAAATAAGTCAAGAAATAACAGATAACACTATGATCAAAAAGAAAATGACAGAAATAGCAACAAATCAAGAAATCACTACACAGAAAACTAAAGTTCAGCAAGACAAATACAATCAAACACATTGGGTAAATCCAGGTGCTCTGGAAAGGTAAGCTTTATAAAGCAGATCCTGTTCTACTAGTGGCACCTCACCACCCCGCTGTCTGGCTTATTAAATTTTGTGGTAATTCCCATAGGTGATTTCATGATCGGAGGAAAGAGGATGGAATTGTAGAACATATCTTTGGTCATCTCTTTGATTCAGCTTTATTTTATTATGGAATAGAGAAACGATTGTTTGTAATAGAAAATTGAATATAATGTTCATTTTAGATGTATTAACATTTTGTACATATATTTTTCAGATAATGGCCTGGAAAAGACTTATAATGAAGACAATAGCCAAGGGAGAGTCAACTCCTACTATTATGGCTGGCATAGTTTTACTGGTGGCACTTCATTGGTTAATTAAATTTGAACAAATAAAGGACAATGGTGCATTCCAAGACCTTGATATTCCCATTTTACAGGAACATGATTTATATGGGTTAAAATATCCAGAAAAGTTCCCTGACCAAGGTCCTGATAAAATTCCTAAAATTCTCCATCAAACATGGAAAAATAAAGAAATCCCCAGTAAATTTATAAAGTGGATTAAAACATGGTTGGTTAATCATCCTGATTGGGAATACTGGTTATGGACCGATGAAAGTGCAAGAAATTTAATTCAAGAAAAGTATCCACATCTTTTAGACACATTTAATGGTTACAATGAAGGAATACGAAGAGCAGATTCATTACGATATATAATTCTACATGAATTTGGAGGAGTTTATGCAGACATGGACATGGAAAGTCTTAAACCTATTGATCCTTGGTTAAAAAAGTATCCATGTTTTGTTAGTCAGGAACCATACGAACACCCAGTGTTAGACAGTAATTTTGAACATTTAGCCATTAATGCATTGATTGGTTGTCGACCTAAACATCCATTTATGAAGAACATGATGGAAAATCTACCACGATTCCAACATATGTGGAATGTACTTGACAGCACAGGACCACATTATATGACATTGATTTTAAATGATTACATACAGTTACATCCAGATCTTAAGGCATCTAATGAAAACTTCACATACTTAGCTCCTCCCGAATATTTCTTTCCAACAATAGATCCAGCTAAATATTTTTGGTTTAGACATCAATGTGGTAAATTCCATAAACTGAGTAAAATTCAACAAAAAGCCTGCATGACATTAAAAGTGAAAGGTGTTAAACGTAAGCCTCCTCACTGGAGTTTTACCAAACATCATTGGGAACATACATATATAGATTTAAGATTATCCTTAAAAGGACCAGTCAATGTTTTCAAATTAGTGCCTCAAGCAAAAATATATTCAAATCAAAGAAGAACTGGAAAAGTAAGAGGGAAAAAAAGTTATATATAGAAGCAAATTAAGATTTTTAATTTTTGTATTCCTATGTTGTTTGCACTTGCCTGTTGTATCGTATAATTTGTGAATTTATATTATGAAGAAAAATCAGTCTTTTTGTACATGTTGTAGTTGTGATTTAATTTACTGTGGATTCATTTATTTTTGGTGGATGCAGAAACATACATCTTCGAGGATACTTAATTTCTTGGTTTTCACAAACTCTGCCTTTAGGAAATTTGTCTTTCTTTGAACTTTTAAATTTGTGGTTCACTTTACCCAACGAAATCCACGAAAATGAGTACCCCATGATTAATAATGTGTCCACAATACCCCACGATTAATAATGAATCCACCTGGTTATAACTCATGAAATTAATTCAGAATTCTTGTTTTCTGATACAAAATGATGTAGAGATATGCAAAATGAATAAGAAATGCTGCCATTGGAAGCAATTTAAACTATGTCCAAAATTGCTCATGCTAAAACTCACGTTTACAAATATTACAAATATGTGTGTATATATGTAAAAAATATACATTATTATACATAACAACAGCTACAAAAAAACTCAAACCACCAACTTAAAACCCAAAGAAAGCAAAGTGTCATGAATATGAAATTTATACTTAATAATTTTGGTGCATCATAAGTGCTTTTCTTAATTTGCCTTCATCAGGAACACTGAAACCTAAAAATTTGACAGCTTAATATATATAAATGAAGGGATAACAAGAATAAACCCCAAAAAAGGGCAGAATGATTAATTTTAGATACAGATCCTTTATCCCCTTCACTGGCCTTCAGCCCCCTTAATTAAAGAACTTGGGTGGATGACAGTTGAAAATAGAATTAAATACCACAAATGTTTACTTCTATATAAATGTGTGTGTATGGAAGCACCAATGTGCCTATTTCAAAAGTTTAAACTGAAATCAAGTAGTAATCCTTACTCTTTGAGAGGTGTTACTGAACGAAATCAGATGGTTCCTTAGCGAAAAACAGAGCTGTTTAAGAAATCTTTTGTTTATTCTGGATCAGTGCTATGGAATGGACTACCAAACAAATTCATAAAGCCCAAAACACTTACTTTTAAACAAAGTTTCAACATGTTCAAGAAGTACATTTACTTCTACTTGACACAGTCCTGATAAGATTCTGTTTTCTACAATGTATTATTTTGATTTGTATATTTTTTATGTCCCCGCTGTAGCGGAGGGGGCATTAAATTTTACCCTTGTCTGTACGTCGTATGTACGTCCCAAAATTGGTTTCCGTTCTCTAACTTTAGTTTGCCTCAAGCAAATGTTATGAAACTTATACACAATGCTTATTACCAACGAACACAGATCAAGTTTGAATTTTGGTGGCGTCACTTTTACTGTTCTAGAGTTATGCCCCTTTACAAATGGAAAAATTGCTGAAATTTTGTTTCCATTCTCTAACTTTAGTTTGCCTCAACCAAATGTTATGAAACTTATACACAATGCTTATTACCACAAAAAACAGATCAAGTTTCAATTTAGGTAGCGTCACTTTTACCATTCTAGAGTAATTCCCCTTTTCAAATGGAAAAATTGCTGAAATTTTCGTTTCTGTTCTCCAACTTTAGTTTGCCTCAAGCAAATGTTATGAAACTTATACCCAATGCTTATTACCACAAAACACAGATCACGTTTAAATTTGAGTAGCGTCACTGTTACCATTCTAGAGTTATGCCCCTTTACAAATGGAAAAATTGCTGAATTTTTCGTTTCCTTTCTCTAACTTTAGTTTGCCTCGAGCAAATGTTATGAAACTTATACACAATGCTTGTTACAACAAAACTCAGATCAAGTACAAATTTAGATAGTGTCACTTTTACCGTTCTTAAGTTATGTCCCTTTAAAGTTATGTTCCTTTATAACTTTATATGCAAGCGGGGCATCATCTGTGTCCTATGGACACATTCCTCATTTATTTTTAATTTAATTTTATATTTTTTTACTACATGCACATCTTAAACAGTTTTATCTATCCTGTTTATAATAATACATTGAACTACATGACTGTAAATTAACTATGTGTAAATATCTGTTTTTGATAGTACCTGGTATTGTAATTTGTATGTGAGGGCCTCAGGGAAGATTAGTTTGTTGTAACTAACTGTGTTTACCCTCTTTCAATAAAGAATTAATTATTATTATTATATTATCATTATTATAAATACTTTGATACTTGAAGAGCTATATGACATAAAGGGACATAAAAAGACTAGCCAAGTCAAATTTGACTAAGGGAGTTAAAGAGTAAACAAAATTAGAATTTAGGATTGTTTTGAAAATAAAAGTATATAGACAAGAGTGCACATGCTGAAATGTCATCAAGACGTTGCCTGCTTTACTGATGGAATTTTGATTTGAAGCTCATGAATATTAAGGTCTTTCTGCAGGTAAAATATAAAATTATCATTATCATAGATTCAGATGAATCATGCCAGAAAGACGTACACCTTACATTCATGAAATACACATGATAGAGTTGACCTATTATTTATAGTATCTTAGAAACAGACCTTATCACATAAAACTTAATGCAGATCACTGATCCAAACAATGAGAAAAAATGGTGACCCCTGTTTGATGCAGAGGCTGATTTTTTGGCCGGTGGGGGGCCAGTCCCTCTTATGGACCTACATTTATGGTTAATGCAGAGTTTTTACAAGTCTCGCACCTAAAATTGCCTTGGTGAGCCCTCCTTTTTTCCAAATTCTGGATCTGCATCTGTGACAGACATGTACTCGATGTACTCATAACAGTTATCCCTTTCACTAAATATAATTAACCCACTGGTTATAGTATCTGACAAATGGAACTTCTCAGAAGTATATACCTATTATTGACAAATGTACTATAAAAGTGAGGTCAAGGTCAGATGAACATGTACACATTACAATAATTCCATACACAAAAAATAGTTGACCTGGTGCTTATAATATCGGAGAAACAAAGCTTATCAAGAAAGCTTAACGTTGACCAATAAATCATGAAAATGAGGTCAAGGTCAGATGAACCCTTCTGAACGGAAATGTACAATAACAATTGTTTCAAAGACCTTTTTTTCATTTTGTCTATCTTGAAAACTATAATGGACAGACAGAAACTCTGTCCTGAAACAGGACCAACCAGAGAAGATTTTAGACTTCAGTTTCCATTCAACACAAATATTCTTATTACATTATATCAATGTTATGCAAAAAGGACAGATGAGCATTACAGGCTCTTTTAATCTTGATGAGTGGAATAAAAAAATTGTATGTAAAAAAATCAATTCTATACACAAAGGTTCTAAAATACTTGTATGATAGATAACAAATCAAATCAAATCAAATATTTTATTGTCTTATAAACTTTACAGTTTGTGACCAACATGTATTAACACAATAAACATATATACATACATATCAAACAAACACAATAAAAACAGCATCAAAATTTATAAAAACAAACAAGTTGTTAAGAGTCCCCTGCCCTCAGTTCTAATTACTTTTTCAAGAAGGATCCTAACTTATTTGTATAAAAAACACACAAATCGGTACAAACAGGCACTTAAATCTACAATACTAATATGGAAGATAACATCTACACAAAGCAGTAAAAAAGACACTTAAATCTACAGTACTGTTTAGTGGTAAGAAAGATAACATCCACACAAATAAGTACAAAAGACACTTAAATCTACAGAACTGGTTAGTTGTACGAAAGATAACATCCACACAAATAATTACAAAAGACACTTAAATCTACAGTACTGGTTAGTGGTATGAAAGATAACATGCACAAAAGAGTAAAAAAGACACTTAAATCTTCAGTACTTGTTAGTGGTATGATAAGATATTTTTTAATTCCCAATTATGGGCCCCAAAGGGCATAAACATTACAACATCAATAATTTTTCATAATACAATACAAACGAAGAGATAAAAAAAAAAGTTTAACGAGAACTATTTAAGTTCTTAAAGAATACGTAGATAAAGAATCTATAGTATGTTTTTTTTTAATACTAATGCATTTTCAAGTGTGGTTGATATAGATAACAAACAAGCAGCCCAAAAAGAAAAAAGAAAAATAGATATCCATATATGTATAGTACACAGAAAGTTGGATCAATTAAACATATAATAATTAGCAAAAAAGAAAGTAGAAATTAAGCATGTCCATGACTCATCCTGTGTCAGCAGCAAATAGGAAAGTATTATGGTTTCCTAGAGGCAGCTGACACCAGGGGGCGATACCTTATGGGCCATAGGCATGTAAAATGTGTGTAAATGTCTCTTTCCTACCTGTATCAAAAGCTAACAAGGAAGCATCATAGGTAACTTGAATGCAGTTGATACCAGGGGACGATGCCTCAAGGATATAAGAGAACATTTGAATAAATAATATATCTTAACAATTATTTTTTTTTAATCGGCTAGTATGTTTGTGATATTCAGATGAATATAATTTTCTATGTCCAATCAAATGTATATACTCACATAGATTTCCTTTAACTAATCTTCACTAAGGAAGATGTTTGTATATAAAATTACATATTATTTTAAGTAACTCAACATTTTCTACACTAAATAACCAGATAATTATGAAAGATAACATCCACACAAATCAGTAAAAAGACACTTAAATCTACAGTACTGGTTAGTGGTATGAAAGATAACATCCACACAAATAAGTACAAAAAACACTTAAATTTACAGTACTGGTTAGTGGTATGAAAGATAACGTCCACACAAATCAGTAAAAAGGACACTTAAATCTACAGTACTGGTTAGTGGTATTAAAGATAACATCCACAAAAATAATTATAAAAAGGCACTAAAATCTACATTACGGGTATGATTAATAACAAACACACAAATCAGCAAAAAGGGCACTAACATCTACAATACTTGTATAAAAGATAACAAACACACTAATCAGTAAAAAAGGCATTCAACTCTACAATACTTGTATAAAAGATAACATCGCTCACATCAGTAAAAAGGGCACTTAAATCTTCAGTACTATTATGAAAGATAGCAAACGCACAAATCGGTACAAAAAGGCACTTAAATATACAATACTTTTACAGTAGATAATACACACACAAATCAGTAAAACATGCACTTAAATCTACAATACTTGTATTTATTGCATTTCAAATTAGTATTAAAAAGGAGATGTGGTATGATTGCCAATGAGACAACTCTCCACACGAGACCAAATGACACAGCGATTAACAGCTATAGTGATTTTTTATAGAATGAAGATAATAACATCTGTCTGAACTTTTTAATGTTTCATTTTAATATATAAAAATGTTTTCTGTTACAAATCATGATGTATTGTTTTATGTGTACATGTTATGCTGCCCATCAAGGGCCCTTGATTGGAATAATAAATATTCTTATTCTTATTCTTATTCTTATAGGTTACCGTACTGCCTTCAACTATGAGCAAAGCCCAATATAGTGTATATTTTGTAAGTTTTATTACTGAAAAGAAATTTTAACGACTGTAAACAGTTATAGTTACACCTAGATTTATCGAAAGACAATTTAATCACGTATGAAATTTTCTGTTTGGTAAGATTATGTGGTAATAAAGAAATCATAACTGAACAGAGACAAACCAAACCTTTGATAGAATGAAGCTTATCACAAACGTTGTAACTTTATGAAACAGCCACATTTGAAGGTCGGATGAGAACAAAACTTTACGACAAAGGAGATCATAATTTCTGATCCTTTCCTTTCTAATATTATTTAGAAACTTTCCAGCAGCGCCTGCATATGGAATATATGACTCAGTCCAAATTCCTAATTGAAACTATATTCCAGAGCTTGCTTTTCTTATTAAGATTTCCAAGACCGAGGGTTGCTGCTTACAATAAAGCTATTGAACCAATGCCTAATGTGTAAGTTGAAGTCCCCAAATACGAAAGTTTTAAAGACGCGTTCATGATGGATGCCTATGAAGTGCGAAACGAAACAAAACCAAATCAAACGAAAAAGTCCATGTGTTGGTATATGAACGTCAGAAATCGTTCTGCTAAAAAAGTAAAGTAGAAGGTGCACAATGGCATTATTTCATGAAGAACCCTTGAAAGTTTGATTGAAATCAATTCACTGGTTAGGAGGAGATGCGGATGGAGAATGCTAACACCCTATAATATGAAAGGGCAAATCCCATGTTTTGGTATGGGAAACCCCAGAAGTTATTTTGACTAAAAAAGTTAAATAGGAGGTGCATAATTGCCCTATGTGATGAAGAATTCTCGAAAGTTTGATAGAAGTCCATTCACTGATTAGGAGGATTGATTGTTGATTGCTTAACGTTCAGTGGCAAATATTTCATGCATGTTGAGGACGAGAACAAATTAACAATAAAGACAAGTAGGTCCTGTACTAGAGGCCGATAGGGATGAAGGTCGGTGAAATTTGGACTGCCACTAGAAAATGAGGGAATTTTGGATAGGGACAGAAATTTTGCCTTGCAACATGCAAAATTCTGACCGGACGTGGCTGCGTACATTCCACCCAGCCAAACGAACGCCCCACATTGGCAAGGGTTCCACTGCCGGTAGGAAGAAGATAGCCTAAGTGACAATATTTCTTTGATCCCCAGTCACCCTTGGGACTCTCAAGTTAGGAGGAGTTGCGAATGGGGAATGTTCATCCCTATAATATAAAATTGTAAAATCCATGTCTTGTTTGGTATGGGAACCCCAGAAATGATAATGATGAAAAAGTAAAATAGGAGATGCACAAGTACATTACGTAATAAAGATTATGTGAAAGTTTCGTTATAATTTAAATTTTTTTTTTTATTAGAACTACCCTTACTTCGTTAAGCGGTTTGAGTAACGATACATGTTCAGTTATATATATTATACGATTGTACAATATCAACGTTAGAGCTGATATAAGGACAATATTCAAAAGAAGGGTCGTATCTTTAGATGTTCTCAAAAGTTTAACACAAGAGATTTCAAACTGACTTTATTTTGGCCTCCATCTTTGAAATATATACCATTGGCAGCAGTTGTTCATATTGATATTTACAGTTGGTCCATTGTCGGACACTGTATATAGATCTATATAGGCTGAGTCCTGGAACACTGTGACAGACACAAAAAAAAACCCAGTGCACAATATCTTATAAAAAATCAGACTAGTGCAATTTCTTAGAAAAAAATCGGTGCACAATTTCTTAGAAAACTAAAACTCAAATATTTGTGTCAATCAATACCTAGCTAGTGTAGAACACTCCGAGCCAACAAGTAAAACCAAAATACAGTAATTAAGCACTTTCGGAGGGACTGAGAGTTCCACACGGAATGGTGCTTAACAAATTGTTATGTATAATACACCACATGTCAAAGGTCCAGGCTTCAATAGGCCTTTTTAACTTAATTGCTAAAAATAGGCTATATGCTTTAATACTTCCGGTTGTTTGGTAGCTGTTCATTGAGCTGTTTGTTTCAGACGGTAACATTGACCTATTTCTATAGTCATGGGTAAACTTGATAATCTAAAGAAGGACAAAACTAAGTTACTTACACTCGGAGTATTTGTTGCAGACGTTGTGATTTTAATAATTGTTTTGATAATCTTATGGGTAATGCCTGAACCAAGAACCCCAGGAGAGGAATGTGGGTATATGTGCCTCCCTTGTCCTAAAAGGGAAAATCAAGTATGTTGTGGCTGTAGGGCTGAAAGGCTGAATACGTATTTAGAAGAGGTAAGAAGCATTTAATGGGTTAAACATATCAGAAAAACAGTCCGCGTTAGATTTTATTTTCAGGATGTTATATACAAAGTGTATAACATTTGTGTATAACATCACAATAAAATGTACGCTCTAATTACATATAAAACAAATACACATTCACGTTTTGTTGTTAGGAATTTTACAATCAACATTGCAAATTATATAATGCTAATTTCTAGTTAGAATTATCGAATTTGAACTATATTAATCGACCAACAAAATTTTAGAACCGAAAGTAGAAAGTCCGACATCTTGAATCTTGAATGTGGACGCGTGACTTTCAAGTCCAAACTTATTTGGCGCGAAAATTTCAAACTTTTTTTCATACCAATAACGTTTATGGGTTAATACAATAAATATTGTATGAAATAGAATGCGAGCATCAGTGATATATTTTATAACAATTTTCTTTGTTTATTTTAATTATTTTCTTCCAATTTCTATTTCTGAGGGTCTAGAGGGGGTCTGCATTTTATATTCTCGAGTGTTTTAGGCATTTCTTTTTGCCCATTATTTTCTATTCTTTATATTTTAGCATCCCATTATTTTCTTCTTCTATCCCCCTTTTGCTTTGTTTATTCTTTATTTTTTGGTAATTATTCTCTATTCTGTCAACCCAGCCCAGACTCTTTTCGAGTATCAATGCAAAACGTGTAAATTATAATACCAAATTATTGGAGTAGAACTCAAATGTTTGTTTGATATTTAACTTAACTGAGATTTTCTGCGAAAAATATACATTTTTTATGACAGATAAGTAGGGTATTATACATTGGCCATTGACATCCCATTTAACTACAATGTAGTTTTTTTTAAATAGTTTTATGTTATTTTTGTTCAGTAACCTTGGCCATTGACAACCCTTTCTAAGAGTGTTAGTTAACTACAATGTAGTTTTTATTTATTCATGTCAGTATGAAGACCAGTTTTATGATATTTTTGTTGAATTACTGTACGTTACTAACTCTGGTAGTGATTTGTTGATATAATTTTCGAATTTCAGAATTTTGACAAGTCTTACCTTGAAGTTGATACAGAATATACAAAAATCTACGATAAAAGAATTGGTGAGTTATCAAAAAGAGTGAGAAATGATTTGTTATCCGGAGTAATTTGGATCTGTTTCTGAAGAGTTGTCACATAACCGTATTAGATTGAGTTGCTGAATGGTGTATTTAGCTGTCTAAGTATAATTTTTCTTATGTTGTTCTGAATATGAAATCCTATCCAACCAAAATACAAAACGGAAATTTAGGAATTTTGTCATGTTCAATATAATTAAAGGTAGTTATTTTTATACAGTAATTCATTCTTAAGATTTGTATGTATGTTTCATTTAACCGTTTGGTCAATTTCTGAAAAAATATGATTATGACCGGTGTCCTTTTGATTCCAATCACTTTAGATCAACATTATATAAATAACACATAGCTGAGAGGGTGAAAGAGCAGATTGTTACCCCAAGAAAACATTATCAACTGAGGCGAAGCCAAGGTTGACAATGTCTTTTCGAGGGGTAACAATCTGCTCTATCACCCTCTCAGCTATGTGTTATTTAATTTATTGTACTGAATGTTCTGTTATTACTGTCTTTAATTTCAAATTCAAAGTAATAAACTACGACGTACATAACAATCATCAGTATTTATTAAAGCGCACACTTGATCTCAAGCATCTCCGTGAAGGGTAATAGAGTATTTGCCATGGGATAGAGTAAATTCTCTCCCTCCTATCAACCAATCAAATCTGGCATTTTGACATGGAGTTTAATAAAAGTTGATATTGTCTGCTTTTAAGTTCATTGTTCCAACTAAATAATTCTGACGATTCTTCAAACTAAAGTAAGTAAGTTGTTTATTAATGTGACATGTGTAAATCAACATGAATATATGTATGTACTAAATATAATCCGACATACAAAATACACCCGGCCCAATGGACCAATACGTCGTCTTTTACTTTCAATTCAATTTAAATGTTTCAATATCACTTGTTAATTGTCAACTTAAATTCGATTGAAAGATAATCATAATTTAAGAATGAGAGTTTGTAAAAGTTCAGATCTGGTTCTTCTTAGTTAAGTATTTGAACATGTTTGAAAATGATACCTAGAGTACACTGTTTGTTTGCTACGGAAACGTGATGATGCTACGTATTTAGCTATTTTCCTTGGATGGTTTGCCATTAGAAATATTATTTTTTCTATGGTAATCTAGCTGCATTTAGTCAGACACCACTTATATCTCGCTAAAACAGTTAGTCTGATATCATTATAAAATGTACAGTTTAGAAGAAGATGTAGTTCACTTTCAGCATTCTGTGAACTACAAAATCGACATAGTCTATCCTCCACTGGTTCCCCAATATATCTTCCAGTCTCAATTCTAATCGGCAATATCCTGCACATAAACTGGGCTAGTACAGATCGCTCGTTCGTTGTAAGATTTAGTTCTACATAGTGTTTTAATTCACAGTTTGTTTTAAAGTTTAAGTAGGATCGTAGTTTTGGCTTAGTCATCATGGACTTTCTCCATATACCACAATAATAAGTTCATACAATTTTGTTTAAAAGATTTTAAATCCACCACTAATCTACTTCCGTAATAATGTGGCATTTTTAAAGTTCAGTGAAACTATCTTAAATGTCACTACACCAATTGTTTGTGCAACATTCGTAATCAATGTAAAACTCCACTTTCTGTTATTCTTATGGGAGATTTAGAATCGTAAAGCATCTTTAAATATTTTCTTAGTTCATCTCAACTGAATCAGTACCTTTATAAAAATTAGGAGATGTGGTATGATTGCCAATGAGACAAATATCGACCAGAGAGTCATCTCACCAGAATCAGTACATTTTTATTATTTGTAAAATACATTACTGAAATATATTGTTCTATACTTTTAGCCAAAATTTATGGAGGCTATATTGGCGATGTTAAACCCGTGGCTCACATGATAGGAGAAATGAGAGAACCATCTGAAGAGAGTGAGTTTTTTTAAATGTCTTTACCATTTTTTTTTTCATTGCAATTCTTTTTTTATGGTGATTTCTGTGCAAGATACATCAAGCATAAAAAAGGTATTTTTACATTTATAATTTAATACTTGTATGCCTACCGAAAAAGATATTCTTATAAATATTGTGTACAGTTTTTGTATGAATTCATCTTCCAAAAAAAGATATTTTTATATTCAATATATATGTTTGCTCATTTTGATTTCAGTATTAATATTTTCATATTTTAATTTTACTAATTATTTGTAACTAATTATTGTTGGTTAGATTTATTCCCCATGGACTGTTATTAAATTGATATATTTCATCCCAGGGTTAAAAGCAATAATTGCGGGGTTGGCTACAAATGTTTATTTGACTACATTCTCATTCTGTATGTTTGTTTGGCTCCCATACAAGTGAGACAAATTGTTTTACATTGCATTTGTGTTTTCTTCCTTTTTACTAAATCTTCTTTATTGAGTACCACTTTCAGGAGGTGAGAGATACATTTAATGTTTTACCCCAAATTTCTATTCTCCTCATTGTTATTGTTGATAACGTTGTCGTACAGTTGTGCTCGGACCAGATTTTTATACGACCGCAAAAATTAAAAATTTTTTGGTCGTATATTGGTATGACGTTGGCGTCGTCGTCGTCGTCGTCGTCGTCGTCCGGCGTCGTCCGGCGTCGTCCGAAGACACATTGGTTTTCGCACTCTAACTTTAGTTTAAGTGAATGGATCTCCAAAAAATTTTACCATAAGGTTCAATACCACGAAAGGAAGGTTGGGATTGATTTTGGGGGTTATGGTACCAACAGTTAAGGAATTAGGGGCCAAAAAGGGGCCAAAAATAAGCATTTTTGTAACTTCCAGACAATAACTTGTGTGTAAGTGTATGGATCTCTCTGACATTGTACCACAAGGTTCCATATCACAAAGGGAAGGCTGTAATTGATTTTGGGGGTAATTGCCTCAAAATTTTAGGAATTAGGGGCCAAAAAAGGGGCAAAAAACAAGCATTTTTCTAGTTTCATGACAATAACTTGTGTGTAAGTGTTTGGATATTTCTGAAATTGTACTACAAGGTTCCATATCACAAAGGGAAAGCTGGAATTGAGTTTGGGGGTAATTGCCCGAAACGTTTAGGAATTGGGGGCCAAAAAGGGGCCAAAAATAAGCATTTTTCTAGTTTCCAGACAATAACTTGTGTTCAAGTGTATGGATCTCTCTGAAATTTTACTGCAAGGTACCATACCACAAAGGGAAGGCTGGGATTGAGTTTGGGGGTGATGAATCATAAGGGGGTTCAAAAAATTTGGGGGAGGGATTTTTTTTTTCTTTTTTTTTCTTTTTTTCATTTTTTTTTTCTTTTAAAATTTTCCATTTTAAGTTGGTTATTTCTGATTTATATTTAAAAGCAAATAATAATGATATGGTAGGAGATACACACCAAACAGGATGTGTAAATTATTATATAATAAGTATTGTGCAATAGCAAGAAATTTTCAATTGCATTGCACAATAGCAAGAAATCTTCAATTGCACAGTATTGCGCAATAGCAAGAAATCTTCAATTGCACAGTATTGCACAATAGCAAGAAATATCCAATAGCACAATATTGCGCAATAGCAAGAAATTGTCAATTGTACAGTATTGCGCAATAGCAAGAAATATTCAATTGCACAGTATTGTGCAAAAGAAGATACTTCGTATAAATTGCTTATTTCTTGATCAATTTCAATGGGGTTTTATTCTTGAATTCTTGGGGTTCTTTAATATGCTGAATCTAACCGTGTATTAGGTTTTTGGATTTTGGGCCCCGTTTTTAAATTGGTCCACATTGAGGTCCAAAGGGTCCAAAATTTAACTTTGTTTGATTTCATCAAAAATTGAATTATTGGGGTTCTTTGATATTCCGAATCTAACCGTGTATTTAGATTCTTAATTTTTGGTTCCGTTTTCAAATTGGTCTACATTAAGGTCCAAAGGGTCCAAAATTAAAATTAGTTTGATTTTAACAAAAATTGAATTTTTAGGGTTCTTTGATATGCTGAATCTAAACATGTATTTAGATTTTTGATTATGGGCCCAGTTTTCAAGTTGGTCCAAATCGGGGTCCAAAATTAAACTTTGTTTGATTTCAACAAAAATTGAATATAAGGGGTTCTTTGATATGCTGAATCTAACCATGTATTTAGATTTTTGATTTTTGGGCCCCGTTATCAACTTTGTCCACATTGAGGTCAAAAGGGTCCAAAATTAAACTTTGTTTGATTTCATCAAAAATTGAATTCTTGGGGTTCTTTGATATGCTGAATCTAACCATGTATTTAGATTTTGGATATTTGACCATAATAGGTGAATGTCCAATTTAAAATTTTTAAGTTCTTAGACCACATTCATTTTGTGTCAGAAACCTATGCTGTGTCAAATATTTAATCACAATCCAAATTCAGAGCTGTATCAAGCTTGAATGTTGTTTCCATACTTGCCCCAACTGTTCAGGGTTCGACCTCTGCGGTCGTATCAAGCTGCGCCCTGCGGAGCATTTTATTTTTTTATCTCTTGACGACCATCATTTGGTTCCGACTACCCATTTTCAAAAATCTGTTCCTCTGAAGTTCCAATTCAAAATGTTATAATCTAAATTTTTATTGATGATTTAAAGACCCTCTACACACGATCCTCATTAATTTTTTATCTGGTGACAAACTTGGCTACGCATAGTTCCATCCTTTCTGTAACTGCTGTCTGCACAATCATGAATGATATATGTAAGTTTATAGTCTTATTATTCTAATTTGGTTCTTATTGGATGAAAACCATGACCATTTTAGGCATTTCTTTGATTCTGGTCAATAATGAAATCTCTGTTTGATAGGGAGGCCAACAAGGCGTCAGTGGTTGTTCATGGTAACTATTAGAAATATCATTTTAATCTTCTCTAAAACTACTTGACTTATAACCAAACTAAGTTAGATTTTGTATGAAAGCTTCTCTACAGACCTCATTATTTGATTCTGATTGGGTGAAAACCATGACCACGGATGTATTCTTTGACTATGATTGACAAGATGGCCATTTTGTATATAGTTCTATTCGAAGTAAAACGTTACAATTGGAGTTTTGTTCTGGATAAGCGATTGTCACAGGAGTTGTACTGGGTCACGGAAATTGCTTGAACATATCAGTTTTCCGTACTTTTTCTGAAATGCCTGAATGAATTTACTAGGTATTTGGTATACAGTCATATCATAAGAAATTACTGATATACTTTTTTTTAACATTTGCTTTAGGGGAGACACTTCCAGTAACGAAATGGTACAAAGGCAACAACTGTTTGCTCTTGAATGGAATGTCCATGCATAGCGGGCGCATGCGTGTTCCAGCCACTGGATATTACCACGTATACAGCATGTTGGATATAAGTTACCACTACGAGAAAGACAACTCCAGGAAATCAGTTGCGCCAAGTGACAATCCTTCTCTAATTCACTCTATCTTCCTCTCAAATATCGATGACAACAACGAAATTGAGGTGTTGAGTACCTGTCATCCGTATGAATTTTCCAGGAACGACATATTTGGGCGATTTGACACCTATCTTAGTTCGGACATACATTTAACAGCTGGAGACGAAGTTTATGTCAAAGTTTCTAATATCTCACAAGTCAACAGCCCTCCCAAAAACATTTTCGGAATTTATATGATATAACTTTTACAAGGTTGTGATACAGTCTGGAGTTAAAGAGCTTTAATAGATTCATGTATAACAGAAACTAATGCCTGAAACATTTCTTTGTGAAACCACAATATTCTAAAAACAGCTGAATCATTTAAAATAACCGAAAACATTAGTGAATTTTCGAATTTTTCCCTTTTACATATTTTGCTTTTTTTTCGAGTGCAGAGTTCCCACATATATAAACATGTTGAAAGGTAGAAAGAATGTCTGTTTTTCATAGTACTAGCAAAACAAGTTATGAACTCCATCAGCTTACACGTATAAATATAATTGTATTAATATTAAATTATTATCATATCTAATTTAACATCAAAACTAACACGTTTGTAGTGATTTGATATAAATTCTTCTCATTTTGGGGGATGGGGGTAAAGATTGCATTCACGCAATCAGACAGGCTTGATAGCAATATTATCTAAACATCATCACTACTTTTGAGAGCACAAAAACATAGTTCATTAAAGGAGGGAAACATCCTATCATGAACATATCAAGCAATTTGGTAATGTTATATATACACTCAGATATTTGATTTACAAAATGATGTGTATGTGTATAACCATAATTGTCAAGAGAACTATTTTGTTATAAATTACTTTAATAAGTTGTACATGGTGCATGAATCTTTTTTTTCTAAAATAGCAATGTTAAGTATTGCAATTGTCTCCCTTTGTCTACAATGATGGATACAGGAAGATATTTGTATCTATGATGAGTTTATTTGCAATCCATTGATTAACTCAATCATGACAATGCAAAGTTTAATGTTTAGTTCGCACTGCAAGTTGAATGCAATCTTCACCTTTCAATGCTCACAAGCACCATGATTGTATATATAGTAAAATATTTTTATTACTTCTTTTTAAACTTATATACTGATGTATGTATGCTTACCAAAGCTTTAAATTGGGTTGTAATTTTTATTATAGTTTGGAATATTGTTGTGGTTCGGTGTTAACTAAATTAAAATATTTAGTTTTAGTTTTCAAAGTCACATTTTCAGCGTTAATTATGTTTCTTAGCAGCTTTTAAATCTTACAGCATAATAATAACCTCGAAACAAAATTAAATAACCAATTACATTAAACTTTTTTCTAAATCAGTCAGAGGTATACATATACACATGTTACAAGCAATTAACTATTTGACAATTACAAATCTGTATTGAACACATATAAAAGCTAAGCTTCAAAACAGAAGAAAAATGGAAAAGACAAATGTATATAAAAAAAAGAAAAAAAAGAAAAAAAAAGAAATTTAATTAATAAGAATATATTTTTCTTTAACATGTATTTACACTGTCATGCACATTACACATCTAATATTTAGCAAAGAACACAAGACCACAATTCACGATTTATTCATATTCATATAAAAAACAATTATTGGTAGTGTGAATGTGTGACCGTTTGTTTGCATTTTTAACTTCATTTTCATTAAAATTATGTAAAGCTTTTTGTCAAATTAAAAATATGAAACCAATGTTGTATATATTCTTTCAATACATTATAATGCTAAGCTTTTGTTGTCCTCCAGTAAACATTGTTTTTCCTAATTTTCCTCAATGGAGATTTTGTTACCCGATATCAATAGTTTTCGCCTTGCATGGCTATAAACTGGACCCCTGTTGTGTTCACTTATCGCTGCACTGTTTCTGTGCGAAACTTTAGATGTAATGGCGGACTAGTTTAGTATGGCTACCCCATTTTATGCCCCATGTGTTTGCAATTTGTATGTTATGAAGTATTTCTTTATGGTTTGACTGGGTTTCGTGTCACTTTACTTAAGTTAGATTTTGCAGAAGGTAGAATGACTTCTTAACAGTCAATAGATATAAGAAGATGTGGTATGAGTGCCAATGAGACAACTCCCCATCCAAGTCACAATTTGTAAAAGTAAACCATTATAGTGTCAAGTCTTCATCCACAATTTTGGGAAAAAATGGCTTTCAAGCCATCTTGTGACCAGTACCATTGGCCATACTTTTCTTCATTCCAAGACTCCCACCATAACCATTTTATGCTTGACATTTAAACACAACGGAGCTTGTCTTTTTATTTTTGAGATCCAGGCTTCACATTATGGGCTCTGGGCTCCTTTGAGCAATGAGCTCCAATTATAGGGATCTGGACTCCAGAGATATATGTCATTAGCTCTACTGATGGGGGTCTGAACTCCAGAGGTATGCTTCTGAGCTAATGGTACGATGTCTCTGGGATACAAGGGAACTGTGGAGCCTGTGTTTAGTTAGAAACCCAACAAACAAGTGTGTGCATTAGGCTTCCTTCTTCAGGGTAGGTAGTTTAAAAGGTTATCTGTTTTAACTATTTTTATTAACCTGAGTATATTGGGGAGACCTGCAATTTTGTAATAATTCAATACAAAAGCACCAATAAGAACTTCATAGTAGGTATTTGGAGGAGTATAAACAAAGGTAGGTAGGGAATCCCTTAAACATAAATCCGTGACATTTTCAAAATCCAGAAAACACGATTACGATTCTGCTTGGATGAGTATTCATATGATATATTTGTCTGCCACTATTGTCACCATTAATAAGGAAAAGTAATACAACGCTCTTTGTTAAGTCTTGGCTCATGACATTATGTAACTGATACATCATAAAACATGACTGGGTAAATATGTAATCTTGGATTATCTTGGTTAAGTTGCACGGAAAAGAAATACCCAGCAGATGTACTAGCTTACTCGGTAAATGAGAAATTCTAACTAAAACATTTGTTAATTTACTAGTTAAAATTACTTGTCTTTCTAGTTTATTTACTAGTCTTTCTATTAAATCTTCCTTCTACCTAGTAAATTTCACTAGAATAACTAGTAATCCCATGGACAGTAAGTTTACTTATTTATCTAGTAAATTCTTCTCGGTATTTTTTTGAGTGTATGGTTATTTTTAACGAGAATTACTAATTTACGATTACTGAATTTCTACATAATTATATATCCCTGGCGTCAAATTTTTGGGTTTGAGCGATCTCGATGAAAGTAAATCCAGAAAATCTCCTCGGATGCCTTTTTAAACGAAAAATGCTACCGTTTACATTGGAATGGAACGATCTATGGTAGAATTGCAGTAAACTATTTTTGTGGATCCGATTATATCCTCCATATCTTAAAGAGAAAGAGCAAAAGATGTACATGCAAGTTAGAAATTTTAGCATGTTACAAGTTTGCATATGAGTATGTATCCCTTTACAAGTAACTTTGCAATAGCTAAAATAGTTAGAAATAGGCATGTAACAAGTTTAGGGGACGATTATTTGATTTTTCTACTTTTGTACACAATTATTTTCTGTAAATGACTGCATTTAGTGTTGGCAAATATTCATTGTCAGTCTGTCTTGGGCAAGTCAGATTATTCATTTCCAAAACTCCTCCGTCCCCGATCTCCCTTCCTTTTCCCTAGAAAATCAAGTGATCGTCCCTTCGTATAAGGTCTCTCCATTTTGAAGAAATGAAAATTGAAATATAGACCAGCCGCAGTCACTTTTTTCAAAATCAAAAAACTATATTCTAGACTTAATATATATCTAATCCTTAGCTTTTATTTCTCTACCCTTTTAAAAAGATACTGCTTTAATGAAAATAAAATAAGTGTTTGCCATTATAGTCTGATACCTTGAGAGGGGTGACACAATATAGACAAGGTTTTAATTTCTGTTTATTCAACCAGCGTTCTCAAAGGGTAATCAATATATCCTAGGACAATCAGGAACAATCAGTATTATGAAAGTTTCCAGTAAACATATCATATACATGTCTAGTGAGATTGAACAAATTGACGAGAAAGTGGAATTTTATATCTATTTTAAGTCAGTATAACCCAGATATAAACGAACCTAAAACCAGCATGCTATAGCCTCATGCAGGAGACGTGGTTCAACAGGTGTATTATAGTAGATTGTACGTGAACCTTTATATTTATTTATTAAACAAATTTACAAATGTTTTCATTCTGCAGAAATTCAGACTTTGAACCGTGGAATCGCCCATGATAAGAATGTGTTTGTTGATTAATAGCAGTTTGCAAATATTCGTCTAGACCGTTAAAAAAATACCAATTTAAACTGAAGTTTCCTATGTTCACTGAATTCATAGATTAAGAATTGCTTTATAGCCCATTTTCGGGACGATCGTTAGATTTGACTCTAACACAATATTCCAATGAATCTGACGTAAATTAAAAAAAATGGTCAATATTAAATTTTCTGACCTTAAGTTTTGAATCGTATCGATATCCACGTCCTAATCAATGGTGTTTTAATACGACCGCAAAAAATTTTTGCGGTCGTATATTGCTATCACGTCGTCGTCGTCCGAAGACATTTGGTTTCCGGACAATAACTTTAGTTTGAGTGTATGGATCTCCATGAAATTAAACAAAAGGTTCAATAGCACAAAAGAAAGGTTGGGATTGTTTTTGGGGATGATGGTCCCAACCGTTTAGAAATTAGGGGCCAAAAAGGGGTCCAAAACAAGCATTTTTTTACTTTCAAGACAATAACTTGTGTATAAGTATTTTGATTGCTCTAAAATTGTACCACAATGTTCAATATCACAAGTAGAAGGTTGGGATTTCTTTTTGGGGGTAATTGCCCAAACCGTTCAGGAATTAGGGGCCAAAAAGGGTCTAAAACAAGCATTTTTCTAGTTTTCAGACAATAACTTGTGTTTAAGTGTATGGATGTCTCTTAAATTGTACCACATTTTACAAAAAGAAAATTTCTTCAAATATCATTTTTTTGGAGGGGGGGGGGGAGTGAGGGTCATTTTTTTCCCCTCAAGATTTAAGAAATTGTCAATTTTCCAAAGAAAAATTGGGGGTCACAATTTATTTTGCTAATTCTTTGTATATAGTGTCTGAAAACAGATTTACTAAGTATTGCGCAACAGCACATTGTATTGCACAACAGCAAGAAATCTTCAATTGAATATAAATTCAAATCATATAACCAATTTCAAGTTCTTTGACTACATTCATTCTGTATCAGAAGCCTATAATGTGTCAAATATTTAATTACATTTCCAAATTCAGACCTGTATCAAGCTTGAATATTGTGTCCATTTTTGTCCCAACTTTCCAGGGTTGGACCTCGGCGGTCGTATCCAGCTGCGCTCGGCGAAGCAGTTTATTGATGTTGCCGAAAGGCAGGCGAGACAAGCAGCCCCACTGCGACGCAGATTGGGAGATGTCTATTTATCTTCATGTCTCAACAAATCAATTGACATTTTTTCATGTTTCGTGCCGATCTGATGAGTAAAACCATTCCAAACTAATTTAATACAGTTTGTTCTTATAATGTGCTATTACACCACTGTCCGAGGTTAGGGGTGGGTACATGTTTAATCCCGCCACATTTTATATGTGCCTGTCCCAATTCAGGAGCCGCAATGCAGTGGGTGTCGTTGGTTGCTGTCTGTCCGATTTGATTTTCGTTTATTGCTTAATCCATATCCGTATACTGAAAAATCCTAGGATAAATAAGGATATGGATAGTAAACTGCACATTGCTAATAAACATACAAATCTTGGTGCCAAAGTTAACGATTTGATACAAATCATGTTAATAGACAAATAAAATAACACCGGTTAACATAACTATATCCTTTCACCGATTCCCTGGGTATAATATTTCATACATAACAAAGAAGTCTTTAATTGGTACTTCACATAATTTATTTTTTTTATTTTTGTAAACATGGATATGGTAAAATATTTGTGTTTAGGTTTACTGTGAAATTACCCAACTTATAATATATAAATACATTTGATCAATGTCAAAGATATCAAAAGGGTTTCTTTGTGCATTTCTAAGCATCACATAGTGCCTTTTAATGACGAATCAAATTATGTTTATTTGTTGTTTTTTTTTTATTCTACTGACTTTACCTTCACGATGACCGTTTCGTGACCAAGTTCTGCCGATGTCACTATAAAAAGATCGTTATATGTCAGGTTCAGCAGGTATATTGTTGTAGGCAGTGACCTTTTATATATTTAGATTCATTTAACAAGCTTGTCAGTCACCACTACATAAAAAAGTTCATATTAAGTACATCTATATACTTTAGGTCACTCGAAACATGTGTTGTAGCAAAAGCAAGAGGCTCATAGGAGCCTGACTCGCTCAAAATAATACTAAGTAATGCCGTATGAACGAATGCTCGCCAAGTTACTGACGGCAAGCTTGAAGTTCTTTATCTGCTGATTTGTTTTTACACTCTTACACGCGTTTATCAATGTTTATCATATGATCATGTCTAGTAGGTGAAAAAAACGGTATACGTGCGCGTGTGAAATATATACATTTGATAATTTTTACACATATAATCTATGAACTACTACTTACACCAGGATGCTATTAAATGTTGTTAGATATCCTGCATTCATTGTGCTTTTCCATTGCATTAAGTCCTTCCTTTTGCCTTATAAACCATGATATCTTGGTGTCAACTAGATT